GACAACCAGATCCACCCTTTCTGTAATCCATGGTCAGTAGAATATATACTGAAACACCTTCCTAATAAGACTTCAAGTGGCCTGGACAATATTCCTCCTATTGTACTTAAGCATCTACCAAGAATCATGATATTCGACCTAACACTTATATTCAATAATGCCTTAAATTATTATTATTTCCCCAAGTCTTGGAAACGGGCCTAGGTCCTTCCAATACTTAAGAAAAATAAAAATCCAAGTGATCCATCGAGCTATCGTCCAATTAGTTTAACGCCTAGCCTGAGTAAGGTGTTCGAGGCAATAATCAACTCTAAAATAAACTATTTTTGCAATATTAACAACATCATACCAGACTGTCAATTCGGTTTCAAGCACCAACACTCCACCACACACGCCATTCACAAGCTCTTGTCGGATCTTAATTTGAAGGTTTCAAACAGCCATTTTGTTGGAGCAGCTTTACTGGACATCGAGAAAGCATTTGACTCAGTTTGGCTTAATGGTCTTCTTTATAAATTATTTAAAAAACAATGCCCTTCATGGCTCACCTTTATAATCTGGGACATGATTAAAGATAAAACGTTTGTTACTTGGGATGGAATGTCTCTATCATCAGAGGAGTTTAAAGTTATTGAGGGTCTGCAGCAGGGAACAGTCAACTCTCCCATTCTTTTCAATATTTTTCTCAGCGATTTGTCAAAGTTATTTAATCTTAACGAGGAAGGGAAAGCATCTGCATTAGCCTTCGCAGATGATCTCATAGTGTATATCTCTGGAAATAAAGTTAAGACAGTTCGAGACAATTTAGAGATACTTGTGGAAAAGGTTAACCGCTATTATATGACCTGGAATTTGAGGCTTAATCCTAGCAAGTCTGAAACAATACTTTTTAGAAAGCCATTACATAACCTGTCATCAAAAGCCAAAGTGGGTAGCAAAGATTTTCAAATTTCCACCACAGTCCCTGGCACTAATGATAAAAAGGTCATCCCTCACAAAAAAGTAGTTAAATATCTAGGGGTACATATAGATTATCTACTAAGAGGTAATAAACACATTGAAGTACAAACAGAGAAAGCAAGAGTAGCGTTTCAGGCTAACAGTAGAATCTTTCACAATAAATTCCTTTCGAACAGAACAAAAATAATATTATACATGTTATTAGTTCGTCCTATTGTTACATATGCAGCACCCATATGGTGGAATTGTAACCATACCATGATGGAGAAAATCCGGGCTCTAGAACGTAAATGCTTAAGAGCCTGTCTAAAGTTAAATAGATCTGCGCAGTCTGAGTGGCAGCATTACATAAACAACCAAATTCTATATAACAAGGCAGGTATCCCTAGAATAGACACCTTTATCTTAAAATTAGCAAGGGATTACTTTAGTAAGCTTCCTATAATCAACAATAGAATTATCAATGCAATATACCAACAAGACCATCTTGTCTCTCAGAGACAACTCTTGTCCGGATACGTCTCGCCACAGGCTTTCCTATACTGCGCTAGCAATATGATCTTAATTTATCATTGGAGACGCAATAAGGCGAACAAAAGGATAGCGTATCGCCATTCAGACTTTGAAGAAAATAGTAATAAGTTTATGTTCTCACAAGTACTACCAAAGAGCGATTATCTAGATTTCCATAGACCTAATTTTAAGAAATACTGGTGGCTAACAATTACAGATGCTCACATGAAAGAATTGCGTGATCGGAGGCCTAGACCTCGCCGGACAAAGTAAAATAAGTTAAATAATAGCATTTGCTGCAATAGTAGATCGTAATATTTAAATATTAAGGGCGTATTAGCCAATTTTGTAAATAATTGTAAATATAGGTTAAGGTTTAAGTTTAGTTTATTAGTTAAGTAGCTATAATCCAAAGACTGACTCAGGGGTTTTTTCTTTTGTTAAGACTTTTCCCCACGTGATTATATATTATAGTTTATTAAAAGTTGTATACTTTTATATTATTACCATTATTGATTGCTTTTACATATATACATATAAAGTTTTTATATGGTGACCCGTTTATCTATAAGCTTCGCATCCGAGCGAACAAGTAGATACATAGTCAATATTGTTAGGGATTCTTTTAATGTTTATTATTACCTGATTATCTGAAAACTGTACCTCACACTTGTCAATAAACATATTTACAAAAAAAAAAAAAGGAGGTCTGCTACATAGGTAGCCTTACTGACGAGTCCACTAGCAGGCCCAGGACGAAACGCTCCCTCTCCTTTCCTTTTCACATTTTTCCAGTCAACAGCCTGCCGCCAAAGTACTAAATGGTGTGTTAACAAAATGTTGAAAAAGTTGCAATTGGTCGGAATCGCAATGAAAATAGTAAAGGTCGCTTTTGGCGACTTTTTTATCTGAGATTGTAATAAAAATTTAACGAATATATTGCTTAGATTTATATTAATTATATGCATGCTGAAAATTTCATCGAAATCGTTTAACGTTGTTATGATATATATAAACGGTTGAAATTCGCAGTTTTTCGCGACTTTTGACCTACAACTATAGTATATCTAACGATTCTTACATCTTTTGATTCCTGTTACTCGTTTCTGTATTAACCGATTTCAATAAAAGTTGCAGCATGTATATAACTGACATAAATCTTCGAAATATATTTATTAAATTTTCATTACAGTCTCAGACAAAAAAGTTGTAAGAAACAACATTTACTATTTTCTTCGCGATTTCAACTAATTGCAACTTTTTCAATATTTTGTTAACATATCATTTAGTACACTAATCCTTCTAACTTCACAAAGAAACTGAAGTCACCTAATCCAATTTTGAAAGATTTCTTCTGTTTTAAAAAGTGTACGAATCGTCTTCGACTCACTATACCTGCAACGAATGCATATTTATCGACAATGTAAAACAAACATGCAAAAAGGATCCTCTCGAGGTCCATTCCTTTAATTCCCGTCGATTGCAATCTCTTCGTATTCCACCAGATGAATCCACGCTTTTCCCGTCGTCCTTCCACAACCTAACTTACCTTTATTCGGTAAATTCGATATCTACGCGAAAATCATATCGACGAAGAATGCGTTCAAGTTCTTTCTCCCCCGCGCCCCCAACCAATTGTGGCACTTGTCCAGATATAGATGCAACTGAATGCATTCCACGGAAATGACAGTTCTCTTTACATCGATTTCTTTTTAGTGAAAATTATGTTTCCTTAGGAATTTATGTCGCTTTCGAAGGCACACAGCATGGTCGGTCTATGAATGACCGATTGAGTAGGTATAGTTTTTATTGTTCCACTAGTATCCCAAAAGACCGCGGGGAGAACACATGCCCACACGTACTAGGTCAGCCGGACAGAGATCGAGGTACGACCAATAATTCGATAATGATTTAATACCGAAATATTACAACAGCCTGCATAATTATATCAATAATGAAAAAATCAAATATTTGCTTGTACACGGAAATTACTGTTGCAAATATTGTTGTCAAATAAATGCTATATGCAGTATGGAATAATTGTTGACTCCTTAACGTCTGTGCTACCATATACAGGGTTAGTCACGAGATACAGAATATCTCAATATCTCTGTTGGGATTGAAGACAGGAGAATATGTCTAAGACAAAAGTTTCTATTGTTTTAAGGGGGTCAACAATTATTCCATACTGTGTAAACAAACTTTTTGTTTCATATTGTTTTTAAGATTATTACAAGGTTATCAACGTTTATCTTTATAGCATTGTGCAGTTTTAACTTCATTGCGTTGAAGCCGATATGATGACAAGTTCAGTGACACAAGATACTATGATCTTCAAATGACCTTGGACTCAGAAAGCCAGATTTGAATAACGAAAACATTAATGGGTGTAGTTTGGTTTCTCAAGTCAACAAGTTTAATTCGTGGCGACAACGTGTGCACCGCCTTATTGAAATTTGAATTGATTTGAACTTAAACCAAAAATTTGTAGTATCATTACGGATGGTCACCACATTGAATGTTTAATTGCATCTCAATAATACAATTTTCCATATTAATGTTTCTTTTGATCGAATCTTGATTTCTGAATTCAATGTCATTCCAGGGTCATAGTGTACTGGGTTAATGAATTTGTCTTGACTGCAGCTACAACGTTATGAAGTTAAAACTACATAATGCCATTTAAGAAAACACCGATGACCTTCAAATAATTTTGAAAACACCATCAAACAAAAAGTTTGTTTATACTGCCACATTTGCCCCCTTGGATGATATAACTTTTGCCTTGATCATATTCTCTTGTCTTCAATCCCAACAGAGATACTTCCACGTTCTGTTTGTCGTAACTAATCCTGTGTGATACATATCAAACATCTGTTTCTTGGAAGGCGATCTATAACTTTGAATGATCACTGAAAATTATACTTTTGGAATTATTTGGAAGCATTTACGACAATTTCACCAAATTTCATGAAAATCGGAGAATAGGCCTTTTCGGAACTGCCGCCGGTTCTTCATTGTACTAAAGAAATAGAAGACCACGAATAATAATAAAATATATTTTTACAATGGAAACTATTAACTGCGTCACTGTTATAAAGTTTACAAAAAACAAACAATGAAAAATAAAGGAATCTATATATTTTTTGCTGTTTGAACTGCGATTATTTCGCGTCGCATAAGACTGCTTGGTTATTAGCGATAAAACTTGGACAAAATAAGCAGATGTAGTATTTGATCGTTGTTATCTATTCTATTCACAAGTTTATTTATTCATATAACAACACTGACGAATTAATGAGATCGTACATCGATACGCTGTTCGACGCCCCTGTGACTGATTTAGGTGTCGGGGAACGTGTGGGGGAAGGGGGATGGGTATGTACCGAAAAAAAATTCGAAAAAAAATACAGAGTCAAGAAAGAGAGAGAAACAACAGGAAGGAAAATACGTTGTAGTCAGGTGCAATGGGTGAGAATAGTAGTGAGACGTATCCAGCGAGTGAACGAGTGGCGGTGCATACTTACGTCCAGTTAGAGGGTGCATCAGAGCAGGGTGCGAGGTGGCTGCTGCAGCGGCTGGTTGCTTGGGTTTGCTAACCTTTGTGTTACTTTTTGCAAATTCCAAACGTATGGTTTGTGGCATATCAGGATCGAATCTAACCCCCTGCTGCAAATAGATTCCCTAAATTAGTAAACCGGGGTGGCACACGTGGATGCTTGGAGTATGGTGAGGAGAAACAGATAGAACGCTTGACGCATCAAACTCAAGCGTGTCCGCGTTTCGATGCGAGCTCCACCGTTTCCATTTCCAGTCTGTTGCAAGTGTGCATTTTAACAAATCGTATTACTACTAACGGAAACAGTTTAATTTAAAGCATTATTTGTAATTAAAATTCATCTGAACACAATTAATAAATTGTTAAATACATTTTCAGTTTGACAGAACGCTTAACGACTCGGTCATTCTAAGCTTCTAAAATGGTCACAAAATTTTGCAAGTTCTTTCGTTAAATGGACTTTTTATTCTTATATTGTTTTCGAATCGGTTTTCGTGGCGATTACTCTCTTTCTCTATTCAGTAGAAATCAATTGGGGGGGGGGGCAACAGCTGGTAACGAAAACTTTGGATAAATGATCTGTAGGTACTAACGATGTAAAATCGACGTTAGAGGATTGGGGGGCTACAAAATTAGAAGGAAATTAGCACAGGGTCGTGTGTATGTGTGTGTCTTGTGTATACGTGTCCGTGTATATATGTGGATACTGACAGAAGTGGGGAGGGAGCGGATTGTGTGATCGTTCGTTAGTTTGTTTTTCAGGGTGGTTTCAGCGAACGTGTCCATCCGACTAGAGGATGTTTCGAATCTCTCGTACAGAACCGGTTACACAGGGTTATAAGACATTGCAAGTTGCGTGAGGTCAGTTGCGGTGGTGTGATGGAAAAAAACTCTATGTATGCAAGTATATACATAGATATGTATGTTTACATCATACACATGTACAGTAATGCTTCGCTGCTGGTTCATCTATTCATCTATTCGCTGTTCGTCTGTTAACGTCCGTTTCGCTTGAATACATATACCTATGGTCTATTTTTCTAAAGAAGATGCCTGGGAGGTTGGCCTGCCTCGGCGCGTGGACTGGTGGGGTTCCAACGCGAGCTACGTATTTCGTGCGAAGTTGTGTTGGTCTATTTTTCTAAAGAAGATGCCTGGGAGGTTGGCCTGCCTCGGCGCGTGGACTGGTGGGGATCCAACGCGAGCTACGTATTTCGTGCGAAGTTGTGACGGTCTCACTGCCACTGTGTGTCTCTTTCCATCCTCCGGCACTTCGGCACGAGAGCCTCTCGCTCAGACGCTCGGTAAACCAACTTCCTTCTTTACCCTGCGATTTCCACGTGTAATACTTTTAATATGTTGCTCAATATTTGGGTACGATACATTCTTTCAAAAGAAATATACTTTTTCTTATTCATGTATTTTAAGTCTTGACGTGTGAAAACGTTCAGCGTCTCGTCAACATTCTCCGCCATTTCCAGACAATGGATGATTGACGAGCGCGTGCTGAACGCAGTCCCCACTCCTTGGGATTGTAGGTAGGTCCTTCTCAAGAGGTTTGTAATACGTGCGATGGAGACAGACGACCGTAGACGAGGACGCACGTTGACGGTCGAACGTCATTGGCCAAGACGCGAAGAGTGAGAGAGACACAGGTGCCATAGATGCTCGCGATCGCGGCAACACCGCGAAAACTCGAGCCTACCTCCCAGGCATCTTCTTTAGAAAAACAGACCATAGCAACAGACAATTCGTTGCAAATAAACAAAATAAATTATTGATCGATGAAAAATGAAATTAAGTGTTTAATAATAACAATAAATTAAAAAATTAAAAATAAAATGTATAAAAAAATCAATCGTCCAGTAAATAATTGGAAAGCATTGAATGAATATTTCAATAAATAACTTAAAGCAACCTTACTGTATTATTAAATGTTCTCTAGATCAGAGAATCTGATAAAGTTATGAATAAAAGTTCCACAATCATGTAACGAAAAGTGATAGAAACTTGTTAATTCTGTCAGGGAAGAAATTTGACAGCTCACGTCTAAACCCTTGAACAGGAGGCACCAAGATCGTGAGATCTCACTCGAAGTTTATCTCCAGTTTCGAACCATGAGCAATTATCGAGGCATTACTGCAATACACTGGTATCACATTTGTATAAGATTAAATCTAAACAGTAAGACTTCTGTACAAATACATAGGTATAACAATATAAAGAAAAACCTGGAGATTCGGTGATGGAAAAGAGAGAGACAGAATGGACTAATGGGGTGGTGACCACGTTCATCGAGAAGTAAAACAACACCATATATATGTATATATCGATAATATGTCACACGGTGCAAACAGCGTTATTACAATACGGTCTTGGTACGTTTACGAAAGAAGGTAAGTATTACTACGGTATGTCCCAAGTAAAAGAGGAAGAAGCTAAATGTAGAGAGAAAGAAGACAGAAGAAGATGTATATATAGACAGAAACAAAGAGAGAAAGAGAAAGATAGTGTCTGTGTGTAGTAATTCATACGTAAAAGAGCTACGTAGCATCAACCCGTGCCAGCTGGAATCTAAGGCAGGGTGTAATTTTATATGTACATTTATGTTTAAAAAATTAAATAAAGAAAGAGAATCGCGGGCCATGTTTGTACGCATGTATATGTATCAAGATATATGTATATAGGGTGAGTCATTTATATCGACACCTGCGAATATCGTTGAAATCGTTGATGACGCCGAAATATGTTTTAGGTAAAAGTCGAATGATTTTCTGGGGGAATTAATTCGACAACATACGCGGGTCCAATTTGTTTTCTTAAATGGGATTATGTATTTTTTAATACACAAACCTGTGCAGCTTGTCGTTCCTTTTAAAAATATATTAAGCTATTATATTTATGCCAAAAATTAGGCTGGGAGATATTGTAATTTCAATATTGCGAAATGGTACTATGTAGTAATACGATGTTTACCTTCTTAAAGTTGATGTTCGAAAGTATGTACTCCCCTCTTTAAAATGACTTATCAACCATTTCTAGCATTTCCTTCGAAAGATGACATGCCATCCGTACAAAATACATTTAGCATAAGATGTCATGCGCACTAGCTAGTATGTATACCGAAAACGAGTACCACTTCGCAATATTGAAATTGAAATATCTCCTAACCTAATGACTTTTTGGCATAAATAAGTTATACTTTTTTTATAAAGAATACCGAGCTATACCGAGTGATGCATTAAAAAATATATAATTCCATTTAAAAAAACAAATTTGACCTGAGTATATCCTTTATGCGTCCAGCTACAAAAAAAACCTGTTCATATAAAATTGTTCCCCGCTCGAAACCATTCAATTTTTATCCGAAACATTTTTCGGTATTATCAAGGGTATCGACGATACTCGAGGCGGTCGATGTAAATGTCTCACCCTACATAGAGTATGTCTACGTAGTTGTTAGGGGACCCTCGGGAGCTCTCGCGTTTAATCGAGTAGCCACAGGTATTTTTCTCTCTCGATGCCTCCGAGAAACGGGGTATTACCTGCAGGTCCTGTTTCGCCGCCTCCGCACCGGCCCTCGTGTGAAAAGTCACGAACCCCACCGGCTGAAATCAAAAGAAACAAATACGTGATTATTAGCCTGATTCGTCCCTGTTTTCATATTCGATGCCGCATTGTGGTTAACACGTTCACTGCGGTACCGGGCATACATGTATACAGAATAAATGTTATAATGTTCCGCGTGGGACAGTTGGACGATTTGACTTCAAACGAATGAAGAATATTTCGAAACTGTACCACAAAATTTCCAATGAATCGCATGAATTGAAACGGTCTCTGTAATCCTTTGAACTAAATTGTAAGTGAAGAAAGTTATAGTTTCATTCTACGACATTAAAACTACAGTTAAATCTCGGTTCACGAACGTCTCGGATTATAAACAATTTGGTTTGTGAATAAAAATTTTTCGAACACAGTGTCTCGGATGACGTACTGTGTCTCAAGTTACGAACACGCAAGCCGTCAACATTTAAAAAAACAACATTCAACATTTTAAAACGTAGACAGTAACAAATCACACTGGACAACTTTTTAGTGAGACAGAGGCCCAGTGGGTTTGAAGCAGAGTAGAGTGATGCTAAGATACAGAAAAAAGAAGAAGAATCCCCTGCCAAACAATAACATGTCACTTCCTCACTACCTTCTACTTACGCCGTCAACTCTCTTCCATACAGGTACGAGACATTCCACGTCATAACGCACATTTTGAATACTCTCATTTTATAGAGGATAGACTAACACATATGACGATGTTTGAAATATGGAGTGTAGCCAGTTAGAAGTATATATTTTGAAAATATGTATACATCCAATTGTGATGTGTATTTCACAGAGGACGGACTGCAGCAGAAGACCTACTTTTATATTTATGTTTAACCGCTTGGAATATGGTCGAAAAAAAGGTCGAAGTTAAGACTCCAATTTTCTTGTATCATACACATATTAATATATTTTAATAGTTTTCTTAAAATGTTTATAAATATTGAAGTTCTTTGATTCCCATTTGAGTTTGTATATTTTTACTAATTACAGATGCAAATCATCAGTTACGGAAGTAAGGAAATGACATTAATTTGCCAAATAAATAGCAGGAAAATAAATATGATAACGTAACAAAACACTTGATAATAAAATTTATGTAGTGTAAAATATACATATATTTTTCTACATGTTACGATAAGTAAGTGTATCTTGGGAAAGCGATACTATTATGCGCCACCCGGTATAATACGACGCGCGGCGGGCGGCAATTGCATCGGCACACGCCACACGACGTACATCATGGTAAACTTTCTTTTTTTTTTTAACGCTTCCGAAATTCTTTTTGAGAAGCGTATTTTAAAGCTGAAGATTCGAGGAATCCAGTGGTAGTTTTCCCAAATTAATCCATGAGTGGGAACAATGTCAAATCGGCATTTAAGAATGTAACTTTAAGTATTATTGTACTTATTAACAATAAACAATGAAAATTTTGTTGCATACAATTACATAAAGCGTTTTTTTAGCTTCAAAGTGAGAACAAGATCAATATTCTACGTTTAAGAATAATCAAAATTCGATCAATTCATCCACCTGCATTAAAAGACGGGCATTTGAGTCAAATTCATATACATATAAACTTTCTAAACATGAATGTAAGTTTCTGCTAAGAAGTACTATTTAGCAATTACAACATTTGATCGTAAGATGGCAGTTAAAAGTGTCATAAATATGTAACGAAGATAACATGAATGTAATTTTACTTTGTCTAGTAAAATTTGCATAATGTTAAATATATGTAGTATCAAGTGTCGATAATAAAATGGTTATTTCATTAGGCTTCGGCATTATCCAACTATTTGAAAAATAATCGTTAAGATAATATATTATCCTGTCTGGCTACATATTATTTGAAATACATATAATCACGTGTTAGTTTATTTGAACAGGCAAATGACTTTTCTTTAGATTATTTCGTTATTTGGATTTCATATGAAATAATCTTTCATTTTATTTTTCATTTAATTAAATATTTATTCAACTAATTTTTCGAATACTATCTAATTCTATCATGTGAGCATCGTCAACTGCGTCAGAAATACAGGTCTCCGTACAGTATGCATCTCAAACATACAAGTTCATTTTATGTGAAATTATTTGTTTTTTATTTGAATGAAGTAACTGAAATAAAAAACTATTCAAATAAAAAATTATTTAAATTAAACATAAAATTAAATAAGTTTTCTTAGGTTATTTGTAAAATAAAAATAATAAGGTATTTGAAATAATGCATTACTTCAAATGATTATATGTTGTCTTATCTCAAATAAAATGTGGCCAACCCAGTATTTCATGGGCAACAACCTAATATATATTTCTAATTTCTAATCTAAATAATTTACGTATAAAATTTGCGGATACTTCTGTAAGTAACTGTATTGTTTATCCGTACGCCTTATACTTTGTAATTTTGTAAATTAGTGTCTACACCTGTCAGTTTACATTAACATTCGTAGTGTTCCTAATAATCCATAAATGGTGGATTTAATATTAAAACGAAAAGAGAAAAATAGTATTTCGAATTTTTCAATTCTGTAAGGAAGAGCTCAGAGGTGCACGCTGGGAACTAGATACATAAACCGTTTCACAGCCTGGTAGATAGATATCTATTAACTACTTTTCGTGTTCGGTTTATTCGTATGGTAATACAGTCCTTGCCACAACGATCACCAGCCAAGATACGTCGTTTTCTACAAATCCTTATCGTCGTTGCAGTATCAAAATCTGATAGTTTCGAATTCGTTGAAAGTTATACGGCGCACGTGACAAAACGGGTGTTCGCAACATATTCCGCAGGATTATATTGAGAAACTGAATCAGATGAAATTGGCAGATAAATTTTATCGCGTTCGAAATGGGTAATGGAACGACGAAGAAATTTTCCATGATACTATTAAAACGAATGCTGCGCGCCCGTTCCGTTGTAATTTCAAATAAATGGGGCTATCGCAATTGGTATTGATTCTGTGCTTATTGATACGGAGTTTATTAAAATTCATTGCATCGCCATGCAATTAATAATTATCTGTTACATCTTTTATGGGTAGTATAACTTACTGAAAAATATTAGCTGAAGTTTTGAGCGACACAGGTATTCTGCTTTTAATTCGGTTGTTATTTACGTATGTATTTTAAATATGTATTCAGCTTATATATTAATATTATAGTGGAAAAGTGCAAATTTATTTTTATTGTAATATTTTAGTAATTAATGTATTCTTTTATTGTAAGGACGATTAAGGACAATTTTATTTATAATTTACGTTTTATAATTTATGTTTATAAATTACGATTAACTTTCCACTTACTTCTTCAATGTCATTTTAACCTAACATGACAGATACTTGTCTTAAATACTAAACTAAGACTACAAACATTAAATCTTAAGTTACTGGGTTCAAGGTTCTTATTTGATACATACATTTTTTCATGAATATCATCCCTAGTAGCACAAAATATCGAATACATATTCATACAATATTAAAAAGAGATTCAATCTCTTTTTAATATTTAAATATACGTACAATATGTATTTAATATTACGAAAAAAATATTTTTTTCCCAATATAAAATAAATATGTATTTAATATTTGAAACAAAATACTTTTTCACAATATAAAATAAATATGTATTTAATATTGGAAACAAAATATTTGTTTCTGAATATACAAGAAATATCTATATTTTATTATGAAAAAGTATCTTTCTCCAAATATAGACTAGATATTTATTTACTATTAGAAAGAAAATATTTCTTCTGAATATACGAGAAATATTTGTTTCCACTCACTTTTCAATACTGATTATTGCTGATTTGATCTGAAATTTTGTGGAAAGTGAGATACAATAATTTGACACATAAATGTCGTCAGAGTCTGTGCACGTGCGGAACACTTCTTTATGGTAAGAATCTTCACGGTCGGTGAATTCGATTGGGGATGATCGCGGTAGTGTGGCGATCATGTGGATCAGCGGAGACGGTACACTTTGAAGGTTTTACACCCGTTAAAAAAAACGGTTGGTGAAGGGTATAGGTATTTCTTCCAATTTATTCTATCGTGTTTGTCATAGTTTACTTATGTAGTAAAATGTATTTAAATTTGATTTACCTGAGTCATTATGTCGCAAACCCTATGTATGTATAGATTGAAAAATATTCTTTGTAACAAAAGGTCTACACGACTCATTCAGGAAGCAGTTTCTCCAGTAATCCGTAAGTCACGAGTTCGAATCCCCACAGGTAGTGAAAAATTTCCGAAGTCAAAAGAAAGTGTTTAATAGAGTGGGGGGTGTATAATCACGGACCAGACTTAATAATTTCGTATGCATGAAACGGCGTATGAAATTTATTTTAATCTTTTTATACATTCTTTTCACGCTTACAATTTACTATTGTCTAAATATTTAACTCATATTTTTTAAATATTTATTTTATATTCTCTGAATATTTATTTCACATTTTCTGAATATCTTCCCTACGTTTTTTAAACATTTATTTTATATTTCCTGTATATGTATACAATATTTGGATTCAGTATTTATTTCATATTAAAAAGTGTGGCTAAAAAATATTTTTTCAATATTTTTGTGCTACTAGGGATGTTAAACAAATATAATATAATTATATAAACACGATATAAAATGAATATTCTTGTTTTTATAAAAAGTTAAATTCTCATCTATGTAGTGTATTTCTGTCAAAAGTTGAACCATTTTTAACAATCTCTTATAAAATATTAAGAAACGCATAACTATAAAATAATTTTTCTACATTTTTTTAACAATTTAACAATCACGGTATGTAAAATATTAAACTGTTTTCTTCGATAATAAAAATCTTTTATGTATAATATCACAATAAAAAATTACAACTGTATAAAATTCATTGTCCCACACATTCCTGTTAAACGAGGGTATCGATTTGAAATGTTGTGTCACCTATTCTTTAAAAGATTTTTAATAAATAAAGGTATGGAGTTTGTGGTCCAACTATTTGCTCATAAAG